TGCCAAAAAGAGCTTACTGACTAAAAATTTACCTACAAACTGATACAACAGCTGTTTTAAGTCAGTCACATTTAGAGAAAAAAAGACAGAAGTAACTGCAATTAATTTTTTACTGAAATTTTGCTGTAGGTTTCCATTTTTTGTTCCCTGAACACTTAAATCAACTCTATGTCAGTAAAACTAGCTGGATTGTTAGCCACAACCAACTTCAACCAAATTGAAATCTATCGCACCTACAAGGTTGATTAAAAGAACCTAAATTCAAGTGAACCAGTGAAGTCTTGACCTTAAAAGAAACACTCAGATGAATGTACTCTCATCACTACAAACAATAAAAAGGTAAGTACACTATTACAAGAGCATGCTTTAAACCTCAGATTTTAAACAGGAAAAAAAAAATAAAATCTGACTGCACAGGACTGTCAAAGTCAAGCTGTAAAATTTCTCTAAACCTCTTTTCTTACAAGTCTAAGCGCCTACTTTGCTTTCATTCAAATCAGAACTCTGGTTCTGCACTGAGGTATATATCACAACGGATCTCCTGCCAAGACTCATTAAAATGGTAGTTCTTGATGAATAGAAGTATTCATCAGTTAAGGAGATATATATTAATTACTATCTCAAGTTTACTGAAATCACTCATCCATGTGTTTTTTATTTACTACACTCAGCAGAGTCAGCATACATGCATTAGGAGAAATTTAAATTTCTAGTCATGAAGACAAGTAGAGTCCAAACTCTGTGTACAAAACATAAAGGCATAAATTTCATAGAAGTCATGAAGTCAAACCATAGTATGCTGAGTTATATTTCATTATACTTCTCTGTATTCAACAGCAAGACATTTGTAATACTTCTATCACAAATAACTTGCAGTAGACAAGTATGCTAGATCATTTTTACAGTTTCCACTTTGCTATGTTTAAAAAGGACATGACTTAGCAGTACTAGCTCCAGAAGTACTGTACAATTAAATCAATCACAGTTCCATCCCTGGAAAATTATAGACACTACAATTTCTTTAGACTTTTTAAGATGCTCAGAAAGGCAACATATTGTGCTGAATGGCCAAAGGGCTATTAACTGAAAATAAGGACTAGTCCATTATGCTGAACATGACTGGGTTGGAATGGGGTCAGAAGATGTTAAGTCACTACAGCAGCCTAGGATTGCAAGAAGAATCAGTGTTGAGATTATTACTTCAAGTACTCAGAACAAGTTCTCACAGCAGCTGAAGAAAAAAGTGAAGCGGATAAACCATAATTAAGATGAACTTGTAAACTGATGCATTTAATTTAGTTGGACAACACCCATTTGCATTAGCTTCCAGGGCAGAAGTTGCATTTGTGCTTTTGTCTCATCACACTCTATTTAAATCAGGTTGCTAGTTTCCATTTCTTCCTACACTAGGAAACTCAATTAGAACCACAATATGCTTACACTTAAAAGAAATTTAAGGTACAAGGTCACCAAGCCACCACTAAGCTAGAGCAATAGCCAGCAAAAACAATGCTGCTGTAGGCAAACCTTTGCTATTATATCTTTGTTCCAACCCACAGAAGACAAAGTCAGGCACAAAATTTCTCCACTTAACATGCAGACAGCTGTGCCTCAATTATAAATGAAGAAAACAGACTAATAAGATATTTATATGATAAATCAAAGACAAAAATGGATGTTAGAGGGCACCAAGTACATTATTGAGTCAAACAAACAATAATGTATTAAATTAAACACTCAGGATTAAAGTTTGGGACACCTTTTAGTAGGTGTGCACACTAACTCTGAGCCTCTAAAATGCTCTTTAGTCATCAGTTAGCTTCAGCACATTACCCAATAACCTGAAGTTACCACACAAGAAAACAGATGTACTACACACGGGTGGGGGATAAGACAAGCTTAACTTTTGACTTCCCCTTTCTCTAAAGCTTGCATTAACTAGATGGGTTCCTGTATCTCCAGGGGGTCCAGTTATCATCTCACCCTACTACAGTCACACAAATTCATAAGTGACATAAATCTGGACAAGACATGTGCCTACGGATGGGGGTAGACGCAGAAGATGCAGCAGAATGAGACCAGAAATCACAATACCCTGGAGATTAACAGAACAAAACCTGATTTTTTGGATACACAGACTATTGTAATCTCCCAGTACAACCAAAGTATATTTTCACGTAGTTAGTAGCTATGCTGATATACATACACTCCCTCATACCTGCATGTGAATAGTCTGACAGAGGGCTAGCCTGTGAATTATTAGTTATTATAAACATTTAGTGCATTATTTTTAAAGACCTACCAAGATAACAGTGGTTCACATTTTCAAGATAGTTTGTTGCAGTGGTAAATGTAGTCTCCACACTTGTAGTAGAAACATTTGCAGTGTCAAGTACTGTTGCAAAGAGACTTAAGCACCTGCGGCATCTGACTTCACTGAAGTTTTCAGCTCAAAGATGAGTATTAGAGCTACCACCCACCACACAGTTTGAACACTCTCCAACATTTTTCATAACGCCAAAATAATGTGCTGGACAACGCAGGTTATTTCAGCCTCCTAAGGGAGAAATTCTTCTTCCTACAACTTCACTGGACAAGTAATTTATTATTATTATTATTATTATTACTACTCATTCACTACTGATTCACTTAAAATAATATGGTGCATCTCACAACCTATTTGTCTTCTTAAAACATTTTGAAGCATATCAAAATCCAAGTAGAGGAAATAATGAAAAAAGCTTATTTGTTTTCTCTTCACCTGAAGATATCACCTTGGCAACATGAAAGAAAAAATATCATCCCAGAACCATGGTAGAAATATTGTAACAATCTATGCAAACAAAGTCAAATAAAAGTTTCTACAACCATTCTTCTGGGACAGACAGAACCTAATTAGTCTTCCTGTTTACACAGAAATAGCCAAATGTTACCCAGCAGAGTAAACTTTGAAGTCAAAGTTTCTTCTCCAGAGAACTCTGAAAATCAGATCTTGGCTCTATAAGTCAAGCATCCAAGAGATTATACCATTATTACAAAAAGAGCTGGTGAATTACAACTCACCAGCTTGGCGCTGGTCATACTCACTTTGAGGTTCTGGATCAGTAAATATGAGAAGTTCAGACCCCTGTTTCTATTCACTACTAGTGATTCTGCAGCTACCTTAGTGAAAATTTTGCCCATCTACCTCCAGAAAGTTATAGTGTGTGCACTGTCTAAGTGCAACAAACAAAGCTATCAAGAAGGAGAACATGTCAATTTAAACATTTCCACCTGACATGGAGCGTCACAGAACTGCTGCATGATCTCACTCTAGTTATTTTTACAAGGTCAGATCAGCAGTACAATCTTGTGTTTATACGGTTTTGGCAATTGTGATTAACCACTTCAAAACTCTTTTGTGCTAAAGGTAACTCCACTTAGGTTTATCAATTCCTTCCCCCTCACTACAACTTTCTAGTTAATAAGTGCTTATCTCATTTAAACTTCGGGAGAGAGCACTACAGTTGCAGACAGTGCATATATGAGTCAATACATATCTGCACCACGATTTACCATTTTTACTGGAATGCCATGGATAAGTGAACTTAGTCACACTGTTACCTAGTGACTAATTTCAAAAGCATCTTTACACAAGCAGTAACTGATTAGAGTGCTGTTACTCTGGAGTTAAAACTTTACCATATCTAGCCTTATGGACAGGAGATGTATACCAGAGTTAAGGATGTGTAATTTAATCTTTCAAGCCATGGTTCAACAGCCTCCATGCAAATTAATTTATATTTCTTTATAAGGTAGGGCAGAAGCACAGAAATCATAGTCTGAGGGCCAAAGTCCAATTACTACAGTAGCTCAAGTTTGAAACATAAATTTCTTATGCATTACCTAAGAAATTACTCTGTTTAGGACAGACCTGCTCACTTAGAAAAAAGTTTAGCTTCTTAATCTGCTGGGAAAGAGTGCTGCTCAGGACACCATGACAGACACAGGATATGGAAGAACAGCCTATGGGAGAAAAAAGATTAAGAGCACAAAGTGTTTCAAGAGGAAAAAAAAAAAAGGAGGAAGAAAAGGAACCGTAAGGAGAAGGAAAAAAAAAAAAGTAATTAAATGGCCACTGCATGAAGAGCTTCCCAACCAATGCAGTTTACTTCTGAAAAATTCCAGTTTATTACCAGAAGCATCCTACTGTTTTAAAAATCATCTCACCCTGTGTTAGGCAAAATTAGAAGCAATCCTTATTAAGCCCACTGGGTACACACCACCCTCGCAGGCTATGAAACTTGTTGCTTTCCACACCCACTGGAGACAGGTTGGTACCGATATCACTAAAGGCCGGATAACTTTTCCTACTTGGTTGGAGTTGATGCCTGAAACACAAGCTATCTGCAAGAGTTTTTAGTGCAAGCTTCATCTTGCCCCGTCGCTCCCTCCTCCCTCTCTTCTGGCTTCAGTGCACAAACCAAACCGAACGAGGAAGTGGAGATCCGAGGGCGGAAGCCAAGCCCATTGCAATGTCTGCAGGAGGATTGTCAGCCTGTGACTCAGGCTGCAGCCCTGACAGCTGCCAAACGGTCCTAATTTTCCCCTGCCCGTTACTTCTAAAGGACGGACACTTAAACGCGAGGGGGGAAAGGGGGGAGACGCACCAGAGGGAGGTGAGAGAGCACGGTCCAGGGAGAAAGAGCGCGAATAACGCAACCCCACCTCCGAGAAGCCCAGTTAGCAGGGCGTGGAGGGAAGGGAGAGGGAACTCCCTGGGCAATAATGTAACCGTGCGGCGGCACACACGCCCCCGAAAGAGAGGTGGCGCGGCGGGGAGCACCCTAGACACGGCAGATCAGCTGCCCGCCACCCGGCTCCGCAGGGCAAGCAGGAGAACGCAGTACCCTCTCTCCCGGCCCGACAAAGAGGCGCGAAACCCGCGCGGGAGCGAAGCGCGGTGCTAGGGGGTGCAAACCGGAGCCACCCGCGCCCACCGCCCCCACGGCCAGCTTCACCTGAGCCCAGAGACAGCGGAGAAAGGGCTGCGCTCCTCGCGGCGAGAGAGTGGCGTCCGCACGCTGCCAGCTCCTCCCGCAGGCACCACCACCACTGCTAATTACTGCTACTGCCGCCGCCTCCCGCTCACCGGCACCTGTCTCTTATAC